GGAAGAGGACAGCTGTTCTTCTGGACCACTTGCAGAAAAGCAGCTGGGTCCCTCAGCACAGGCGGCCCCGTTTTGCTGGGCCTGACTCATGGGTGGCTTGGCAAGCTGAAGTCCCATGGGACCCCCTGGGTGGCCACCACTGTCCAACCTCAGGGTCGACTCCACACTGAAAGTGGACACAGTCACTCCACTCTGTGGGTGGACTCCAGGACACTGGAAAATGCAACCTCGATGAACCTGGTTGTGCTTCTCCAGAGTCTTGAGTTATGGCAATAACCGGATTGTTTGTCAGATTTAAAGATGCTCATATTTGGCACCGGAACAGGGAACAAATGGTGACTGCTGACTGAGGCGTCTGGGTCACTCATGACAATGAGCACATTCCGTTGAGATTGACCAAAGTCGGGCAGTGGATGAAACCCGCCCTGCCTGCCCTGCCTCCACGGGGCGCCCGAGCCGCCTTTGTACCAAGCGTGGCCACTTACACGCCCACCGCAAGTTGGGCACAGGCAGAAGATGCTCCTACTTCGCATGGCAGAAGTTTGACCCTTCCCCAAAGTTGACTCACTTGTCCCAGGAAGGGCTGTCACCCAGCACAGGACACGAACGCGCCGGCCTCCACACGGAGAAATTCCACCTGCCCCTTGACTTCTTTTACATTATATCAAGTATGATTAAAATGCGGCAAATATTAAGGTTTTTCAAAGTGGTTACAGTAAGAGATCCATTGCCGTTGATCACTGTCAAAATCTCTCCTCTTGCTTCAAACACGCGTATCTTTGGGTTCTCGCCTCTTTCCGAAGCAGCTCCGAGTCCTCTTTCCTGAGTGTCTGTCTATAGTTGTGCTCTCACGACTGCTCCAGTATCCTGAATCAACGAAAAATATTTCCCTTTCCTCGTCACTTTCCCTTCTCGGAGGAATCAGAGGTGGCACAGTGCCACATCGGGGGATAAGGTGCTTGGGGCCCACCGGCAGCTTTTTAGGAGTCCGCCTTTCCATCGCATGGCACTCGGCGGCGGCAGTCACTGGTTTTGAACCACAATTCATAAAGGTTGTGAACACAATTCATAAAGACACTCCCAGAAGGGGGCCTCAAGACCGCTTCAGAAAGCGGCAAGACTGAGGAAATAAGTTTGTTTGAAATGAAAATGGGTGCTCTGAAGCATCTTAACAATGTTTAAGCTTAAACATTCACCACGTATTTTAGTCACACCCTCATATGACCAATATGTGTCACAGATAAGAGTATTAGGCTTATGAAGTGTTCAGTGTATACTTATCAAAAATAGTGTAATTTAAGATTTTTTAATGAGTGTTTGTTCTGTCATTTAAAAATCTAATTATTGGGGATAAACCTCAACCTCTGCTGTAGTCCACACTTCTGTGGAGCTGGTGTGTAGGGACTCAGTTATATACTAAGTATAGTATATGTGAAAGCCTTTAATGAAATGTAAAATTAAACAAATTCAAGGTGCGGCTAGTATTGTTTGGCAGCTTGGAGAAGTGTGTATGTATAATGGCCATAAATGTTTCTTCACAGTCTGAGTAATGGGTGGAAAATAAGACCAAGTATTTAATTCTAGTTTCCTTTTCACTTGATAGGGTATCTAGTGTCAGTTTTATGAGCTCTTTTACCTCATTCCAAACCATGCAAGGTCTGGGACCCCTGTACAGGACACCATGTTCAGCGGGGCTTTCCAGTATTCATGCTCATTCGAGATGTATGTTGACCATGTTGGGGTGTGTCCGTGCCTGTATGTGTGTGTGTGTGTGTGTGTGTGGTCTCTCAAAACCAGTTGTGTAAGCCTGAAATGTCATTGTTAAGGTTGGAAACAGCCATATTTTTCATGCTCTACCCCCAAGTTTTCTGTTGCTTTATCCGTAACATTATAAAGCAAGGGAGCTGAAATGCCCTTATGCTTTCCTTCATGGGAGAGGAGACTTCACAGCAAGGTGAAAGTGTAAGCCAGTATCATGATAAGTTATATGTGTTCATATGTTGAGGGAACTGGAATTTTGCAAAGGAAGAGAGACAAAGTTGAGATCTGAGCAGTGAAAGATTTTTACTTTTATATTTATTGTTTAAATTTTATAACAAGCTGTATTGCTTTTTTAATCCTTAAACATAAGCAAAATGTTAATACATATTTTTCTCAACTAAGGACTGAATAGGAAAAATTATCGGTGGTAAGGAAGTTAAATATATTTCTTATAAGAAATGGAGTATTTTTATTGTAGTATAACAAAATGAACAAAATATAAAGTAGACTGGTTATGACTGAAAGCTCACGATATTTTGATATGTAGAATAAAATGCCTAGATATCAAACTTCAGCAAAAAGTCCTGATAATATAAAAAGAACTTGATATATGTTAAGAGAACAAAATTATCAATGCCATGCAACCGTTTCAAGAAAATGTCACAGTGTGTAAATGTTTCAAGAAAATTTGGGTTAGATAATTACAAACTGGTGCTGCAGACTTTGGGTAATTTCACCTAACACATGAGGACTTGGAAATACATTTTCAGAAAATAAGTGTGCTGTTGTGTATGTTTTGGTTCTCCGTTCCAATGCACCCTTTATTGCATCCCAGTGGCTGCACACTTGTACCCCCAGGAGGGGAACAGCAGCCTCAGTGTGTCCCTATGTTGAGTGTAGGGAACAGGCTCACGTGCACCTTCTGCTTGCTTAATTCTACTCTTTAGCTGCAATCAGACCAGTTCCTCCCACATGTATAGCAATCAGATGCTGCTGAGAACTCAGAGTAGCCCACCTGCAGGTCTCCGGAGTTCTCTGCATTGCACACTTTTTTGTGCTCTGAGGCTGGGGAAAGAGTCACCTAAAAATATTAGCAGGAAGCTGTTTCAAGCTTGTCTGAAATGTCCTCCAAGGTCTATGTGTTAGCAGGTTGTTGCCCAACTTGTGGTGCTGGTGAAAGGGGTGGAACCTTTAGTAGGCAGCTCTAGTGGGTCTCTAGGTCACTGGGTACATGAACTTGAAGCGCACCGTGGGACCCTGGCACCTTCTTCTTTTTCCTCCTTTCTTTTCCCCGGACAAAAGGTAGCTGCTTGCTCCAGTGTGAGCTTCTCCCAATAATTATTTTGGCTCACAGTCTCAGTGATTTCAGTCCATGGCTGGGTCCAAGGCAGAAATGGCACTACAGTGGAAGGCTGTTCACTGTATGGTGGCCAGGAAGCAAAGGGAAGAAGGGAGAAGCCAGGGACAAGAACACACTCTTCACACCCAAGTTACCCACCTCTTCCACCCAGGACTCACTCTGAAACAAGACTTTAATGGCTCCTTTTAGATCTAAAATATAACTTATGAGTCATGAATTCAGAGTGAATGCTGCCAATTTATTGTCATTTTTCAAAATTATTTTAGCTGTTTTTGTTTCTACTATTTCTATTGCCATTTTAGGATGTTTGTCTTCATCTATCTCCCACCCCAAAAAAAAAAAATCTCTAAATTTTGATAGGAATTACTTAAATTTACATATCAACTTGAGGAGAATTGAGTTTTATCATTCTGAGGATTCTAATTCACTAACATGGTATGTTTCTTCATTTATTTAAATCTTTATCAGTGTTTTCTACCTTTTGACATACAAATTCTGTAGATGTTAGATTTATAATTGGCATTGTATTTTGTGAGTGCTTGCAAATGATATTGTAGTATTATAGTGTTCATTGATAGCCTAATGAAATACGGTGGGTGTGCCTCACTTCATGAACTTAATTCTTTCCATGACTCTGGTCACAAACCAGACTGGACAAGAACCAAATCAACTTCAATGGTTAGGTTCAATGCTGACTTTATGAGAAAATTCAATTCAGTTCTCATTCATTTGGTTTGCGGCCAGAATCATGGAAAGAATTAGGTTTGTGAACCAAAGTACCACTGTACAATTTTGTATGTTGATCTTGATCTCACTAAATTCATTTATTAATTTTAAGGTGTTCAGTAGAAACGCTATCATGTCCTCCACAAACTGGAACACTTTGTTTTTTCCTTTACAGATGTGGGCCTTTTATTTTCTTTCCTTTGCTCATTGCACTGCGTAGAACTTCTAGAACTGTACTAAGATGGTAAGAGCAGGCTTCTTTTCCTTACTCATAGCCATGGGGGGAAAAACAGCCTTTCACCAATAAATATGATGCTAGACAAGTCTTTCTAATGTTGTCCTTATTGTTTCTTACTATTCCTAATTTCTAAGAGTTTTTATCATAAATGATGGCTGAGCTCTGCCTGAACAAAATCCTTCAGTGTTTCTTGTAGTGCAAATCTGCTGGTGATGGATTTTAGCTTTTGTGTATCTGATAGTCTGTAGTTTGCCTTTGTTTCTGTAAGATATCTTTACTGGATGTAGAATTCTAAGTGGACATTTCTTTCACTGTTATAAACCATTCCACTGTCTTCCCATTGAATTATTCTATGCACTAAACAGTCCACCACTTTTCTCATATCTATTGTTTATAATTTTACTGTTTTAGTAGTTCTTGCCACTGATTTTAAGAATTTGATTATCATATACATTAGTATGTTTCCATGTTTCTTGTGCTTAGGGTTCTGTATAACTTTCCTTTACTGTAAAATAAATACCTGAGATAGACATCTTATAACGAGCAAAGGTTTCTTTCGGCCCACGATTTTGGAGGCTCCAGTCCATGACTATTGCCCCCATGTCTTTTAGACCTGTGGTGAGGCAGCAGATCATGGGAAAAGGAAGTGGTAGGAAAGAGAAAATAACGCCATGCTGATTCCTTTCATGTTTTCTCATCACCCTTAGTAATACTAGTTCAGAATACTGAATTTTTAAGTTGGAATGCTCAAGTGCGCTAAAAGCCTCCAAATATTTATAAAAATTTATCTGAACAAGAAGGCATAGATGGTGGCCCAGACTTATGTTTACCTTTAACAAGATCATTTTACTATGTTACTAAGCATTTCAATGATTAGTAAGTGCCTAAGCCAGCAAATTATCTCACAGTACTTTATTTATCATTATATCTTAGCAGTAACTTTACAACATTATAACTTTTCACAAGGACAGTATGTGTATATTAACAAATAAATCTCATTTCATTCATCTTGTTTTTTCCATTTCTCCTGGTAGCTTTGCAAGAATCCATGACTTCAGTTTTTCTAGCTCAGTTTTGGTGAGCTCATGGTACATATCTGGAAAACTATGAAACTTTGTGTTCACTCCTAGACATTTTAACTTTGAGTTTGTCTCTTCGCCCCAGGAATAAAGAACCAACTCATCTGCCATGCCGTGACACTGAAATAATTCTGGGAGCACACAATCCATCTTCTGAAGTGCCTGGATAAAAAGGCAAAACCAGCAAAGTGTAAGAAACTGTACTTGATCATTCTTAAGAGATCAGAGAGAAGAAAAATTTCAACTTTACCAAGGCTTCAGTAACTAAAGGAAAAAAGGGTATAGGGGGCCCTGCCTGAGACATTCACAGGCAGTAGACCTGGGGCTGAGCTGGTGGCTGGCACACGCTGGAAGACTTTCCCACACAGCCAGAGAGGTTCCTGCAAACAGAGAGTCACTTAGAAAACAGACTCTCACATGGAGCAGAAAGGGGACAAGTTCAGGACTTTGGCCCACGCAAGCAATTATTTACACCCTAGTTCTCAAGCTGGTACTGGCTTTGTAGTTTTTCCTTCTGGTAAAGAAGCTGCAATGCTATACTGTATCATCTTCATAAATTAGGATTTGGCTGTAAAATTAAGTACCAACTTTGTGTTTGTTTATTTTTTTTTCTTATTTTGAGTATGCTCAAGGCCAAGGGTGCTCAGGGTGAGCCTGGCTACAGTCATCCATATTCTTAAAATATACACACACAAAAAAACCACAAAAATACGTACAAAACATACACATATACTACACATGCATGCACACATATGAGTTCTTTCCTCAACATCCTGGGAATACTCCTTGTACGGGGCAATTTCTGAACATTATCAGCTAGAACTCATCAATATAACACACTGGGCATAAATTCCTAGGAATGCTCAATCTACATCCATGGTGTGTCAACTTTAATTGCTTAATTATCAACTTTATTTTGGCTTCCATGTGTGTGCTTCATGTTTGTTTGTTGGTTGTTATTTATTTATTTACTTAATCTAGAACTTACCTGGTAAACAACAGATGCTTTATTCAGAAAACTAGAAAGAGCAAATACCCCAGCCACATCCTGATGGTTCCTATATGCTAAATGCATGGCCATACATCCTCCCATAGAAAATCCTCCTAAAGAAGCAAAAATACACTTAGCATAAAAAGCAAAATACATGCATTAATTCACAACAAGTTGTATCTATGCAAATCTTCTCAAAATATTCAGAAACCTTGAAAGACATACAGTGCTAAAATTTTTTTTAATCCATTTGGGTCTCACAGAAAGCCTTGGAATGATCAGTAATAACACTTCCCCATCCATGCCATCACTGGTAAGAGATCGGTCTCAAGCAGAGAGGCCTGAACAAAGACATGCTCACCAAGTTGTTATCTGCCAAATCACAGGTGCTTAGCGATTTCTGAATAGGGAAGAATGAATGACCCAAAATTTGGTGAGCAGGTTAAAACATTTTTGGACTACAGTTTTACTTTGGAAATGGCCTTCTGAGGGCATAATGAAAATCAGTGGTAACTTGACAAACTTTTCCTGGCCTTGCATGTGCTGAACATGTACGAGTCACTGGAAACAGGTGGGTTAAAGTACAGGGACCTGCTTGTTCAGGGGACTGTGGTGAGGAGATGCATCATGGGGCACAGAGATCATCATGAGGCAACAGCAGCAGAGAACTGGAGGCCCCATACCTGCCTGCAGGCCAGAGACTCCATGTGATTTCCCTAAACTTGAGTGAGAATCAAAGGATATTAAGTTCGCACTTTATGAGAACATGAATATGCAAAACAAACCATGCAGCTGCATATTCATGAAAATACAAAAATATAAACTGCGTGGAATTCAGACTTCTTAATTTCCAGCCTACAATCTCATTTCACTTAGCAGTGTAAAGCTGAGCTCTTAGAGGCCGTACATGGAAGTTTACTACAATATCCTTGTTTTATGAATGAAGGGAACAGAGGCCCATTGAGATTAGGTAACTTACAGGTGCACCTCTAAGTTTAGGTATGAAGCTGGAACTTTTGGGTTCCAGATTTCCTGCAACAGAGTTCAGTGTACTTTGTATCATCCTCTGATAATTATTAAAATAGGATCACTTTGTCTGGGATAAGCAGGTATTATTTTGGATCCGGAACACAAATGCATGAAAGAGGACTATCAGCTTGCAACGTTTAGAGTTACTGAAAGAGCACAATGTATAGAATAACCTGAGAGAAACAGTAGGGTCTCACCAGCAGCAGTAGCCCTCGTCGGATGAAAACCACCTGAACTGCTTTCTCAAAAGACTCTCCCTGACACCTCCAAGGGCAGACACTTCTAATAAAGGTTCGGGAACAAGGTCAGTATGGACAGAGAGCATACACACCCTAAAGATGCTTGTAAAACTCGCACGTGAGCATCAGTTTGCTCCAGAGCTACACTACCCATGAGTCTGTGCGGTGGCCAATCTTTGCTGGCCCAGAGGAAAAGCTTACCACAAACATGATTAGCACTGCTGACAGCTAAGCCTTTGTCCCGAATGTGCAGAAAGAATTCTAAGCTTTATTTATTTTTTTGCTGCAATTCTAGTTACAGACTTCTTGCTGCCGAAGTTTTCCTATAAAATAACATATGGGTTATAAAACAAACACATACTGAAATAATTTTAGGGGGGGCTTTTTGGGGGGAGGTTGTTGTTCTGGTGATTGAGTCCAGGGCCTTGTCCAAATTAGGCAAGGACTCTCTCACTAAGTTACACGCTTAGCCTACAGAAATAAAACTCTTATCAAGCCCTAATTTACTGAATATAAATGAGTTGTCTGGATTCTGACATTTTCAGTGGTCAGAAGCAATCTTTTTCTCAAGTTTGCTTGGCTGCCCTCGATGAACTGAGCAAAAGCCCCATCCTGGTGCACACGAGCTGGCGAGCTGGCTTCCTCCTCACAGGCTTGGCGGGTGGCGCAAGAGTGAAATAATATGCAAGTAACAAAGAAATGCAGGCCCCACTCGTGTTTATCCTAGAGGTACACAGAGCATTTCCTACCTTAAAACTGGGTGGAGAGAGGGGATCTGAGCGAAAATAAGGGAGCCTGATTCTCAGTCCTGCCTGTGACACTTCCTAGCTGAGAGTCTTTGTGCAAACTATTTAAAATCCAGGATTTCATTTCTAGTCAAGTCAGACAGCTGGGCTGTGTGATGGCTGGGTTTCCATCCAGCTTTGACACACAGAGACTTCATAACCATTTGTAAAAGCTGAACTCACAAGGGCTTCACATCTTGGGAGGAGCAGTCCTTTAACTCTCAGAACACAGTTTTAGCTTCCCTAAAAGTTCATACTCAGTCCCAGCCAAGGCCCACTGCCTTCACCCTGTCAGTTTCCCCGCCTTCGTCACAGCCAACGTACTTACAACGCGAATTCTGCACTGCTCATAACAAAGCACACTGTTAACAGTAAAAGTACATCCCTAAAAATGGAGAGGGGAATGTGGGGGACAGAGAGAAGGGTCTGGGGGGAAGTGTGTGAGACTGAGAGCAAAAGAGAGCCTCACAGACCATGACACTAGAGAGGGAGTGGTACTGGAAGCTGGAATAGCATTAATGGTTGCTTTCTAGCAAGGCAATATTCTTTAAATGAAGGAATTATAATGAATCATATTGAAATTTTTCCTAGCATTGAATTTCTTGGGGAGTTTATTAAGCAGGTCTTTAGTAATAACTCAAAGTCAGAAAGTAGTCCACATTCAGCAAGTTCCCTACTGATTCCCTGTTAAAATCAGTACACAAAAACCTCAACATTCATTAGAAAATAAAGATCCTAGAACAGTGCGTGGCATGGAGAAGGCGCTTCAGAAATACTAAGACAGCTTAATACACTGAAGTGCAGTAAAGATGTTCTGCAAGGACACGAATTTGTCATCAGGAAATAAAGCTTTTGGGTGACTGATAAAAAGAAAGGGTTAGAAAATTTAGGGCTGACTCATTAGTGAGCTCTAGGCCAAGCATCCCTAACTTGGCTTCTTAAAGATTTTAGACTCCTCCCCAGACCCACTAACAAAATGCTGCCACCTATGTCTACTTTAAAAAGCTTTTATGCCACAGCTACGTGGCAAAGTTTATGATTAAATACATTAAGTAAGAACAAAACCTGTAAATACAGCCATGATTTAAGTCCATATGCTATAGATAAAAAGTTATTATTTTTCTGAGAAAGTCAAGTAGTGTGAATTACGGTTTTGCCAAACATAGCTCATAAATATTTGAAATATAATATCTAAATATAATAGCATAATTTAGAAATTAAATTTAACTTTCATTTCCTTTTAAAATAACTTCCATTTGAACTTGAAGAGCCCAGAAACTAGGGGCTAACATATCAGAAAAGGAGTATCCAACTGTATCAGTGATTGAAAAAAACATCAAAATCCAGTAATGGAGCGTAAGTTGTATCCATGTCATAAAACGATTATTGTAATACTATGATAAAAATTAAGAGATAAAGTATAAATATTGATTAGTAGGGCAAAATACAGTGAAATGATTCTCAAAATATATGCGTCAAGAAGGTTTTATACACGTAGAGCATCCCAACACTTCCTTCCTATGCACCGGGGACCTAGTCACTGTAGGTGGTTTTAGGCCCTGGATGGGACTGGCCTAACTAGGAGAAAAGTAGAACGTCACTGTGAAACACTGTTGTGAATACTTGGACATACGTACACGTCCTGCAAACATTTAACCACATGCTCAGTTCTCATAAGTTACACAAAAGAAAAACGAATGCAATGAAACCTTAGTATCCCAAGATTTAATCTGAGGCCTTTCCCTTCCAAATTTATAATCTAGTGAGGCAAGCTCAGCTCCTCACTAGATGTCTTTGACGATACAATCACCTTCAGCTCTGTGCACCACTGTGAAAGGGATTTTGTGTACTTGTTTTCTAAAAGAAGAAAATCATCTGAATTAAATTTTCCATCTAAGAGTCTAAAATATAATATAAAATACACTGTTCAGTAAGTAAACAGCAAATAGTAAATCCATTGTAGGTAATGGTTATAATGGATATTTATAGTTGCTAATAAAGTATTTAAAATGTCAGAGTTAACATTTCAACATACACTTAAAATTAACAAGCTGAATAAAACATGTTAAAAATAATAAACTTGGCTTTATGAACTCTTTATATAAAATAAAATATAAACAATCTATAAAAGAACTATATTGGGAAAATCAAGAGAATCTGAAAGCAAAATACTAAGAAAAAAACACGATTAAAGTTTGTTATCAACTAAACAGGATCCAAAAGTGTAATAAAATCCACCACCACATCAAATTTGAATAGTTCTACTATTTCACTTGTATACTGTTATAATTATCCCTCAGACTTCATTGTGATAAAGTCTCAAAAGATCTGGGAATATACAAATCATGCTTAACATATTTATTTGTGTATTTCCTGTCATGTGAAATTTGTAGGAGAAACAAACTATTTCCTTCTACGGAAAACTGTTACAACAACAGTTGAAAGCTGTTAAAGTCCTGATAACTGTCAATGAAGAAACATAAGCTGTTTAATAATTAGAGTACACGTGTGCTTTTAAAAAGTAGAAGCTATCATTTTCAACTTTTAGCTCCCAGAAGAGAGCTTCAGAAAAAACTCTTAAAGTTCAGGAAAAGGCAGCCTACAGATTTTGGTGTATCACGGGAATTCCTCCTATCCCTTTGTTTTATTTTAAATCTGATTATAAAAATAATAATATTAATAGGATTTACTCTGTAAAGTGCTTCTACCGTACAGATGCAAATAAAGAAATTAAAATCACCCAAAATACGTTCCTTTAAAATTCATTCTAGCAGTGAAATTCATTCCACATGTACAATTTTATGTATTTTTCCTTCACGTAATACTGATTTGAGTGACTGTCTACAGAGTCATAACTTAAAGGGAATGCAAACTCACTGAGTGCTCTGCAATCGTGACGTACGTAGCACTTAGAGTTACAGGAGCCAACCGTAGAGGGACCCTGTGGTGGGCCTTTAGACTCCCCGTGTACCTCATTCGTGGTCCCAGGGGCACTCATCCTCCCTGCTTCAAAATACTGATAATATGCTCCTCTTGTCAAACTTTGGGTAATCTGTTCAT